AAGTACGGCGACTCCTGCAAGGGTGGAGGGGGCGGAGCATGGAAGCGTTTTAGAAGCACTTGCGGTGAACAATGGCGGGGCCGGACTCATCGTACTCCTGCTTGCTGATCCACATCTGCTGGAAAGTGGAGAGAGAGGCCAGGATGGAGCCGCCGATCCAGACGGAGTACTTCCTCTCAGGGGGAGCGATAATCTGGAGACGAGAACAGATTAGACACGAGGCAGGTAAGTACCTGTAGGCCCGTCTAGAGACGCACAGCAGCAGGTCGTCAAGTTTGAGAAGGTGTACACTAGAGGGCAGCAAAACTAGCTTCAGATAGATTTATACAGTGGTGCCAAATGCCAGAGAGGAGGGTGTAAGTGGCACCGTTACAGTGCAACACTGCACAAGTTTACAGCTCAAGAGATCCAAGTAACAAACCTTAATTTTCATGGTGGGCGGGGCCAGGGCAGTGATCTCTTTCTGCATGCGGTCGGCGATGCCGGGGTACATGGTGGTGCCACCGGACAGCACAGTGTTGGCGTACAGGTCCTTACGGATGTCCACGTCACACTTCATGATGCTGTTGTAGGTCGTCTCGTGGATACCAGCCGACTCCATACCTGAATGAAGTTTTAGTGCAGAAGTGAGAGACCTGATGCACCAAGGCTTCAGCCCCTTTCAGGAAAATTCAAACTCCAACGGTCGTCTCTGGAGGGTAACTGATGATTTACAAACCAAGGAACGAAGGCTGGAAGAGCGCCTCGGGACAGCGGAACCGCTCATTGCCGATGGTGATGACTTGTCCATCAGGAAGCTCGTAGCTCTTTTCCAGGGAGGAAGAGGAAGCTGCTGTCTGCATCTCCTGCTCAAAGTCCAGAGCCACGTAACAGAGCTTCTCCTTGATGTCACGCACGATCTCACGCTCGGCTGGAGGTCAGAGTTGACAGTTAAATGGACACTTAGACGGACGTGCGCATCATGGTTTGTAACTGCAGTAGCTGCAGATTATGGCTTTACAGCAGCATGCTTGAAGGTAAAACTGCACACATACCAGTGGTGGTGAAGCTGTAGCCTCGCTCGGTCAGGATCTTCATCAGGTAGTCTGTCAGATCTCTGCCGGCCAGATCCAGACGGAGGATGGCGTGAGGCAGAGCGTAGCCCTCGTAGATGGGCACAGTGTGGCTGACACCGTCACCAGAGTCCATCACAATACCTGCAGGACACAACACTCAGGTCACTCTGGAGCCACTGAGCTTTGTGCTTCCTCTAATGGTCACTAGCTGCTGCTCTGAGCAGAGCCAGAGAATACTCAGAGAAGCAGCTCCAACCCCCAACTGAAGAAACGAGCCCCAAGCTAAACAAGGAAGTTTATCTGAAGCAGGACTCTGCACAGCAAGATCCTGAAACGCTGGAGACCCACCTGTGGTACGACCAGAAGCATACAGCGACAGCACGGCCTGGATGGCCACGTACATGGCAGGAGTGTTGAAGGTCTCGAACATGATCTGCACCAGAGAAAGACTTTAATGTACAAGTGCTATAATTACACCATTAGCCTGGAAATTAACTTCTTTTCTACAAGTGCAAACTGCATCCAGGCTAGAAAACCTTCACAGGATCAACAGGTTCAGCGTATCAGCTGCTTTAATCAGAGATGGTCCTTCACACACCTGCGTCATCTTCTCCCTGTTGGCTTTGGGGTTGAGAGGAGCCTCAGTCAGCAGCACTGGATGCTCCTCAGGAGCAACACGGAGCTCATTGTAGAAGGTGTGATGCCAGATCTGCACGACAGAGGCAGCTTGCAGGTTAAGTACAAGTGTGATTAAATCAGAAGGTATTCAGTGAACTCTGATTCTCAGGTGATGAAATCAAAGTGGAAAATGGCATCTTTCAGAAGCAAGACAAGAGCAAACCAAACAAATAACCCCCCCACAAAAAAAATAAAACCAGTTTAGATTGTTGTGGTTTTCTGTTTAAACTGGTCAGATTTCATTCAGGGGTTTAACCTCCTGAGACCCAAACTCTTCCACAACAGGCATTTTTAATTTCTCTTTGATATTTGGACATATTGGGGCCCCGATGAATGTGAAAACAAAGAATTGTTGTTTCTAAGAAAAATGAGCCACATGAGGAAACATTTTGACAGAACAGTAGCAGTATAATGTCCTCATAACTGGATATCAGGCTGAAATTGAGTATTTTGGTCTAAATAACCCAAAATGTGATGTCCACATATGGACGCCATGTCCTAGGAGGTTAAAGAAAACCTGTAGTGAGAGATGTCAGCTTTGATAAAGTCCTTCACCTTCTCCATGTCGTCCCAGTTTGTGACGATGCCGTGCTCGATGGGGTACTTCAGGGTCAGGATGCCTCTCTTGCTCTGAGCCTCGTCTCCCACATAGCTGTCCTTCTGTCCCATTCCCACCATCACACCCTGCAGACACAGTTGCATGCGTCAGGCTCATGTGCAGGGCTGCAGTCAAATTCCTGAGAGTGACGTTCGTACCTGGTGCCTCGGGCGACCGACGATAGAGGGGAAGACCGCACGAGGGGCGTCGTCTCCAGCGAAACCCGCTTTGCACATACCGGAGCCATTATCAACAACGAGGGCAGAGATTTCTTCATCCATGTCTGAAAGAACAGTCACATAATCAGAGGGTAAATCTCTTAAAGTAAATACTTTAATTCTGTTCTGCAGTGTTAGTGACTGGCTGCTCCCGTATGGGAACGATGCCACCTCATCCCACAGTCCAGCCAATGATGCGATTCACATTCAAGCCACGTTAATGACAAAGGGTACAACCACTGGAGATGTGAGCAGGACAGACAGAAAGTCTGGACTTTATACCAGTTTTTATAAAAGGTTGATAAAAATATCTGCAATGTTTGTTTTTCGAATACTGTCGTCGTTTATATTTACTGCAGGAAGAAACAGTAAAAACAGCATTTTATAAGGAAAACACTCTCCGCCTGTGAGCAAACCCAGCCTTTCCTATTGGTGGGAAAATGTACTATGGGGTCCAATCAAAAAAAAAATTATATGGGAACATGGCATTTATTGTTGTGGCACAAAATTAGTGTTGTATCAAATTTGATGCAGAACAGCTGATTGTTCTTTAAATAGTTTGAAATGTTTATTTTTTTTTTTTAAAAAAGCCTTGGCTGCATTTTTAGGTAAACAGCTGCAAAAAAAAAAACTTTGTTTGCAAAACTCAGTAACTTTTTTGAAGTAGTAACTAAATAATTGCCCAACATTTGTTATTATTTACTGCATTTCAGTTACAGCACTCTACTTATGACTCATAGTCATAGTTCAAGACTGAGATCAAAATATAAATAAAAAAGTTGTTTGTAAAATTGGAGTTAAAGTTATTTTTACTTCCAATAGTGTTAACATCCTACAGGTCGTGAACAAGATTTTTTAAAACTTTCATTGTAAGTGGGCTAAAGCAGTTAATTAAAAGTAGTCTAACATAAATGCTGTAATTTGATTACTTTAATAAACCATGTAACTTGGATGATTCGATGCTGGCGTGACCACAGTGCACACGTCTGCTGTCGCTCAGTAATCCAGGGACCCTCAGGGAGTTTGTGTGTTCGCTCAGACACATGAAACATTAGAGGGAACATTGATGGTGGGTGTGGCTTCTGGCTAAACTGAGTTGTTTTGTCACATTTTTCAGTCGAGAACATTTCAACAAGTTCAGACAGAACAAACTCTTCTGCTCTGCAAACCCAGATTCTCATCTGGCTCAGTCCATTAGGAACAACGTTTGTAGTTTCTATGCACGTGTCCAGGTCACACTAACAGTCACGCATGTTTTTAAGTTGGCTGAACAGAAAACTACAGCAGCAGGTCGGATTATGTAAGAGTTAGAAACAGGAAGCACAGAGGAGCAGCCCTTCCCTCGGGTCATCATTCACTGCAGATGGATTTTGACACAGTTTTTAAACTTGAATAAATCTCATGCAGTCATGAACATTAAAGAAATCACCACATTTTTCACTTTAAGTTTCAGAAGAAACATGAGCTGCACGTTTTACAAAACAGTGAGATGTTAGCTGCCTTTGGCATTTTTTCCCTTTAACATCAGTTTGTTGTATATTTCCTCCAGTTTTACTTAAAGATCTCAGCATCAATTCAGCTTTTATCGTGCAGGCTGGTTTCAACCAGCATCCTCCGGCCTCACGGAGGCTTTCCTCCGGCCTCTGTGAGCTCAGTCAGATCAGAGTTAGCGGTTTGAGAACCAGTTTGTTCTTTAGCGCCTCTCTAATGAAACCGCAGCTCAGAGTAACATCGTGTTTCAGCTGCGACAGCTTTAACTTTAAATCTGAGCTCTTTAATTAAACCGAGCTTCAGCGTCATTGTTCCACTCTGACCTCCGAACTACATGAGAAACTGTACTCTTAGTGTTACCTGTGCAGGTGAGTCAGGCGCGTCTGTGGTGAAGTCTCGCGGATGCTTCTCTGGCCCAGCTGTGCGGTTACTGCAGCAACATTAGCGCGAGCGCACCGGTTTTATCCGCGCTCGCGGGACAGCTGGCGTTTCCCATAAAAGGTAACGTTCTGACAGCCGCGCTCTAATTGGTCCAGGTGACCAGGACCTCGCAGGTGCTCTCAGCTGGCGCGCTGATTGGCTGTAGGAGGCATCCGTCAAAGGGGAGGGGCCAGCACCAGAGACGGAATCCTGATTTCTCCTCCGCCACAAAAATCCTGCAAAGGTTTTAATCTAATATGGAGTCCGCCTGAGAACGAGGACGCTGATTGGCCAGGAGCACCGGAAGTACGCTCTGGATTAAATGTAGTTTATTCTCTGCGCTGATGAATATTAAAGAAATCCCTAGTAAACCAAAAACAGCTGAGTATACATCACACAAATCACCCAGGAGGTCAAACAGGAGGAAATAATAATACAAAAAAACTTTATTTATTTATTCAAGTTCAAATGTTTGGTCACATGATTGCAATCAGGAACCACTGACTTGGAAAACTGTGACTGGAGTGAAGCGAGAGCATGAGGGGTGAAAGCAAACATCCCTTCATCCTTCTCCTCTCTGAGACAGAAACGTGAAAGAAACAGTTTAGTAGTTGTAGCTGCTCATGAAACAAAACTCCAGGGAACTGTCGAGGAACTCGGTGTGACTTTGTGGCTCTGCAGAGCTGCTCTCGGCCTGATGATCCACAGGTCTGTGCAGGTACAGATAAACGCTCACCTGAGGCAAGAATAAGTGTTGGCGTCCTGTTCCTGCCTCTGTGAGCCGGACTGACACAGAGAGAAACACTCAGACACACTCAGGTCATGGTCTGAACGCAGTTTTCCTCTTCTAACACACAGAAGGTCTTTCCAAACTCAAGGTTAGTATTTTAACATTCATGGGAAAAAACAGAGTTTCACAAGCCTGTGAGCTGAGTCAGATCACTGTGGGTGTGGAATTAATCTGACTCTAACGATCAGTGGCTGTTCTGGGATGTCGGCTGTGCAGCATCTGAGGTTTATAAGCTGTGAACAAATATTTAGTGACCTGAGCTTCATGAAATCACCGAGGTTCCCTCAGAGACAGAACACCTGCACAAACATCTGTAATCAGATATTTGAAATCTACGTTGGATGATACAAATAAGCTGTTTCCAGCTCAGCGTTTTCTGCTGCACGCTGGACTCTATCAGATGACTCCAGGACATGCAGATTTTTATCACACAGCAGTTGGTGTCACTCCATGCTGGCTATGAATCCCTGCGGCGGCACGTTTCTGTAATCGTGCTTCTGTGATGTTGTTTTGTGCAGGAGCACATGGAGCGACCGGCCGGGTCCCTGCAGACTGCAAGAATCATTTACTGCAGTAAGCAAACATAACAGCAAATTAAAAACCACAACAATCTGTATTTCTTCTCAAAGCATCATTTGTTATTGACTATGTAAAAAAAATATTACATATTCATAATGTAAATAAACTCCTGAGGGCGTCCTGCTCCTGCCTGACCCACCTCTGCGGCTCCTCCACCCTGTCTCTAAGAAAGAGACGGACACGGGACACAAGAAGCTCATTTCTGTTGTTTGTATCCATGATTCACTCCACAGAGGTCAGAACCACAGGTGAGAGTAAACCTGTGGGGTTGACCTACAACTGATCAGCTTCAGGGTCAGCGCTGTCTTCACCACAACACACCTGTGCAGCATCCACTCCTCCCCTCAATCATGAGGACGACCTCGAGACACTGGAGAAACTCTTCCACTTGGGGAGCCAGTTGTCCCACAGTGGCTCTGCAGCTCCGGACCTTCTCCACCTGAGACCACGGCCTCGATTAAGAGCAGCTGATCATTGGGGGTTTCTGCCTTTGATGCATGTGTACAGTCATCATGTGAGAGAGGATGAGTGGAGAGAGAATTTCATACGGATGCAGATTTCTAAAAGTTTCTGATCTGGTGTAAAAGAAAGTGAGTTTTGGTTTTGCGTTAGTTTCAGTCTGCAGCTCCGCTGGATGAGGCGGCTGTGAGTTTACAAGAACAAAGTCACGCTCGCTGTCATCGACGTCCTCTTCTGCTGCGCTTTCTTTCCCTTTGTAAATATAATGAAACTGTGCAGTGTGTTTTTTAAAAGTTATCACAGATCGAACACTTGAAAATGTTTGACTGAACATCAAAAATTTGTCAAGTTTGACAAATTTTGGTGGAAAAAAATCAAATCATAAGATCAACAAATGTGTTTTGTGCACAGTTTAAGGAATAGTCGTCTAAGATATGTATATTTTCATTCACACACTCTAACATTGTAAATGTGTTCAGCATATGAAACAAACAGAAACCTGCTGAAGCAGAAATGCTAAAAGCTGCAGTTCCTCTAACGTCCACCAGGGGCTCCAGCACAGAGTCAGTCCCTGTAGACTCCCGTGTTTAAACTTTACAGTAGAAATAAACATGTTTACATCCTGATACAAAAATGTTTTGGTCTCTGTACCTAATGTCCCCCATCATACATCATACATCTGTATGGGAGGTTTTTATTATTATTATTAACTCATTTGTTTAAATTACCTAGCTTAAAGTTGGGGGCGTGGCCTCTTTGACTGACAGGTAGGTCTGGACTTTGCTTCTTATGTTTGTGGCTTTTGGAGAATTTGAATCCAGTTTTATGACAAATGATACGATTTCTGTGCCGTTAGCTGCTGTTAACTGTTAACTGAGCCTCGAGGTGACTGTTGCTGCGACGTGCTGTCTAAATAAAACTGAACTGAAATGAAAAGTATTCACTGTTTCCTCTCTCAGCCGCAGCATGACATTTTTACATGGAAAACAAGCTGATTGGTTTCTGTTGTTACCAAATCTAAACATTTATTTGCTCGAGTTATGATCACAGAATAAAATGTGCAAAACTGAAGTCTTTGTACGTTTGACTTTTTCAGATCATCTCAGTCAGAAACAGAAATCCAGACTTCACTAGGATTATGTGACGTGATGGACTATAAATCCCACTAACACAGCTGCTGGGCTCACTCAGGTTTATCATGCTGAGTCCTTTTCTGTTTGAATGTGTGCACATTCACAGACCATCACAGTGCAGTGAAGCCGTTTTAGAGCAGCTGAGTCAGATCACTGGTTCAAAAATCAAACAAACATGGATGTGCATCACACAGAGTCATACAGCTTTCAGATGAATTTGTCCTTATCTGCAGCTTCCAGTTTCACAGCAGCACAATGAGTCAAACTGTGAAGGTGGATCTGTGACTGATGCACCGCAGCAGAATCACACTGAGTCAAAGTCAGGCCTTAACTGTGTTCACAGCCTCACATGCTCTCATTTTGTAACTAGACAAACTTTCTGTAGAAGAAAATCTTTGTTCTGATATGACACGCTGTCAGTTTCCTGGTACGGAGGTGAAACGTCTCTGCAGCTGCATCAGAGACGCTGAACTGTCAGCTGTTGTTAGTTGGTTGTAAATTCAGATTTCAGATGATTTTTCACAGAAAGGTGAAGTTTTTGTGGTTTCAGTGTTGTCTTCATGCCTCTCAGACACGTTTTAATGTTCAGCCTTCATCCTCTTCCTCTCAGTCCTCTGACTCAGTGACATGTCCGTTAGAACGACACACAGTGCTGCACCTGTGCTCTCGTGGTGCACACGGGTCAACATCTCCACTGAAGCCAGTTTATTTCTGTTTTTTTGCCTCTGTTATTTTTTTACATTTGATTTCAATCTTGATTTGTTTCTGTTTTCCTCGTGTCGTACTCATTTTCACAGTTCAGTAAAACTGCTGTTGTGTTGTGTTCATCATTTATTGTCTTTCACTGTGTGAGGAAGCACCCGCCTGTGCTCGTATCCCCTTTTTAATGCAGTCAAAACAAAGGATGAACCTTCCTGCTTCACAGTTGCTGCACATTTGTATGTTTCAGCTGCGCAGACGTGTTCCTGCTTCTGTGACGCGCCCTGAACCTGCACAGACCTGTTTGTGCGTTCAACCGCAAAATACAACAATCAAAAGGCTTCATGTATTTATTTATGTACGTGAGAAACTCTGAGACTCTTCTTGTTTTACATTTCAGGATGTGATTTACAGGATTCCTGGGTGATACCTGAGAGTCTGTCCTCCCCCCAACCCACCCCACCCCATCTGTCACTCAGTCTGTCCTTGTATGGACTTCACTACAGCTGCATCCTCCAGCTGACACACCTACTGCAGAGAGGAGGGAGGACGTTTAACAACATGTAGCGTTTCGTACTTTCACAGATTTATCTGAACGCTGCAGAAACTTTATTTAAACACATGCAGGACTCACAGCAGAGATTCAGAACTTGAGGTTCAAATATTGAAATATTTAGAGATGGAAGCAGATTTCAAAGCTTTATTGATCATTGAACACAGTTGTACACATCTGTTAACTCTGAGGTTTGCTGCTTCCTTATATGGACGTACCTGACAGCAGAGCAGCCCGACTCTGCTGTCAGGTACGTCACTGTGCAGCAACACGGGACAGAGTTTAAGTTTCACTGAGAAAATCAATGTGAAGCTGAGAGATCATCTGTGGTGAAAATCAGAAATACCTGTTTTTGTTGTTTTACACACAAACTGCCCAGAAATATTCACACACATCATTCTGACTGTAGCTAGTTTGCAGATTCAGTCACACTTAAATGAACACATCTTTTTATCACCGTGGATGTTACACCATAACCAGATCATCCAATCTCAAGAGACTGCACGAGATTTGGGGAGACCTAAAAGGAAGTGAACCACGTTGCATTAAAATAAGGGGAAACCTTGAGTTCTTCCTCCGTTACTGTTCGGATCGTGTCGCCTGGCTGCAGAGCACCGATCTGTCTGCAGGGAGGCGACGCACCGGTCTGCCTCGGCGCGCTGATTTAGATCTCCTGTTTGTCGCCCTGCAGTCAGGCAGAGCCGACATTGTCCACATTCTCCAGCTGGTTCGGGCCTGTTCAGGAAGACGGAGGCGTGTCGGCCCGTCTGTGAAACCAGGCTCCTCCCTGTCAAACTGATTAACATGGAACCACACAGAGACCA